CTACGTGGAGCGCACCTGCTGCCTTGGTGCTACAAGCGCATCTGGAAGGTTTGCGCCACATGCAGTGTCTGCGTGCCCCAGATGGGCGCTCGTCATCGCGATCGACGTCAGTTTGTGTCGCGCATCGTCTTGTCTGCCCTTGTAGTCGTGCATCAACCACTCATGGCCGTGTCCTTGGTCGCCTTGGGCTCCACCTCTTCAGCCTTTCCGATCCAGAGAACGTTGTTGCACCTTATGAGGACCTGGCCGAGGGTGCCTGAGCTGACGCCGCCTACGAATTCTTCCGTGTTGGAGAGCTGGATGTTCATGTAGAGGTCGACGGAGACGAGTCTGCCTTTGTACTCGGTCTCGCCCCACTTCAACCTGACGACGATGTCTTTGTCGACTCTGCGCATGTGTTAGCGCGTGCTCTGTGAGGAGGGTATGCGACGTACAAGCTTTGGAGCAAAGGACGCGGGTTGAAGGGTGCCACTGCCTGATTGGTGTTAGCTTTGCGCGTGACTGCCGGATGGAGAAGAGAGCTTACAGCCATGTTTGCGACTCCAGTAATGGGCTCGCTGGTGGTTAGAGGTGAGTTTGGTGGTTACAACAGTGATAGTCGCGGTACCATGGCGGCCGTGCCTGCAGCTTTGGAAAGTCGTCGGCAAAAGGTATCGCCGATTGGCCGAGTGCTTCACCGCGGGGAAGCCGCGCGACACAAGATCAAGCTCGGGTGGGTTGATGGTGTAGCTGAGTCCAGTCCTCTCACGTGTGTTTCACATCATTGCCGAAACAAGGGACGCATGGCATATCCAATTCCTCTCGTCTTCCACAGCCATGGCAGTACATGGCTCAAGGTGTAGAGCAACGCGACTAGTGGGCGCGCTAAGGATTTATTCCATCTTTGTATCATCGAACCATCTGCACCACCTACGACCGGCCAACATTGCACCCTCTTGAGACGACCATCCTGCCGACCAGCTCTTCGGCACGACGCCAAAGCCGCCCACCATCAACTACACCATTGCGCCCACCACGGTGCGCTGTCTCGCCCTGCCGCCCGCGACTCGCTTCTCCGTCGCCCCTCCGTTCCTCGCGCAGCATGCCACGGTAGCAATGCGAGCCATCTGGTCCCGGGCAACTTCGAACCCGGGTACCTGCAGATGCATATCGTGTGTCTCCAATACCACCGCTCTTGCTAGATGTGGCCGACGGACGGCTCTTCGCGGCTCATGGGCAGTAGGCACACCCACGTCGACCTTCGTATATACAACCATATTTGCAGCGGGTCTGGCTGTCGATGCGAAAGCAAAAGCTGCTAGGAACAAACAATGGGACAAGGCATTCTCGCAGCTGGCCGGAAGTGCCCATCATCCGTCTTCAGTAGAAGATTTCAAAGACACAGAAGCGGCGACGGATGCTGTTTCCCTACCCCATGGTAATCACGGCTTGACCTTGGATGATCTACCCAGGGACCTGGACTGGAATGCCCTGCAGCGCGTTGTAGGCATGGAATTGGAAGAAGACCATGTGCTGGAAACTCAAGAGATCCAGTCGCAAATTCGAGATTACGCCGACTTGGCTTGGGAAGATCTGCAATTCGATTCTAGATTTCCAGGCGTTCAGCAGTTAGATTGGCCAGCAAACACCGGCGCTGATCTTATACGCAACAACTTGCCACCACAGTCATTATGGGCGCCAGATCGAATGCGTGTTATAGCGCTACGAAGAAGACATACATGGAAAAAGTTGGCCATGCAAGAGCTGTCCGTTGGGCTGCTCATACACGATCTGTTGTATCACACCAACGCTACCCGCTTCTCTAGAACTCTAAGTGATGAGTTCGCCAAGTTGTCGCACCAGATCCAGGACGCCATATCCATGACCCCGGACCAACGCACGCAATCGCGTCAGAACATATTAGAGGCCCTCGAAAATCTCGACAAGACCCCGGTCGACAGCGAAGTGGATGGTTATGTCAACGCCCGAATCCAGGCGGACCACCCAGCAATTCCAAGATATTATCAAGACCCTGACGGGGACTTTTATGCCATCGCAGACCAAATGAACCAAGGCATCCAAGGCTTGCTCAAGGAAATCCCCCATGGCAGTGACAAGAAAGAAGCTCTGGCGGTTGCAAAAATTTGCCACAACCTTCTTGTCTCCTCCGCTTCCCCTGATTTACAAACATTCAACACCTTACTCATTGGCTTCCGCCGTTGGCGTCGCCCAAAGCTAGTGGATCATGTTGCAGCATCCCTACTGGTCAGCAAGATCCGCCCGAATGAGATTACTTGTCGGGAACTACTCAATCACTATGCTTCTGCAAGACATGGGTACGCTGACGACTTCTCGCGTTTCATAACGAAGATGAGAGGGTTGGACGATGCGCTGATGCTCGCAAACCCCAACATCTCCATCAACGAGGCCAGCCAAGGCCGACTCGTAAGGGTAACCGAAGGGAAGATCTATCAGAAGGTCTACCCAACGCCTATGGTATTCAGCTCCTTGATCACTGGCGTCATGAGATTTGCTGGATTCGACCGAGCACTTGATATCTACTACGAGATGAAAACGGATGGCTGGGGTCTCGACGTGACGGGGCTGACAAGACTTTTGAACGATTGTATCCGCCGTGCCGATTGGGAAGGCGGCTTGTACGTGTGGGGCGAGATAAATAGCATCAACAAAGCCAAGATCGAACCCCATGACATGGCCAAAGCATACTCCAACATGCTCAGCTTATGTTCCATCACTGGCAACACTATTGCTTTCAACCAGATCCTGAATGATCTGTCCAAAGAAGGTTTCGATCGCGGGGAAATCCTGACTGCTGCTGCCAAGGCAACGGGTGTAGCGCGAAAGAAGAAGGAATACCTCGCTCCTGCTTGGGTCGCGGACAATGTCATGATTGCCGCGTCCGCCTACGTGAAGGACGCGCGATCGTCAGGGCCGGAGGGACCGCTTGCACCAGAGATGATGGATGATGATAACACTATGTTCTCTCAACACGAACCTGATGCGATGGGGGACATCGAGCATGGTATTGCGGAGCCTGATCCTAAGGAACTGTGGTCACAATGGCTGGAACGTGAGTTCGGGGAGAGACCAAAGGAACCTGAGCCATGAGCCAAAACCGACCTGTATGATACGACATAATGCGTGTATACCAGTGTATATATTATAGTTCTAGAACGGCTTCTTTATCAAATGTACATCATAAAGTCCATTGACAGTTCTTTGGCGCAATCAACCACAAAAGAGCTCACGGATGCTGGAAACAGCGCCCACCCATTTCACCCTGCGCGTTCGCCCGCTGTTGCCGTCACATCCATAAGTTGGCTCAATGACGGGCCTCTACCATAAAAACGTTATCGTGTTCGAATTCCAAAATGTCACCCGACCGTTGCTTTGCCGGTTGTCTATTTAGATTAAACGCATGGGCAGCTTCATTTATCTTCTCGCTTCTGCAGCTCCATCACCAACACCAACGTGACTCTTTGGCAAGAGATATGTTGGCACGGCAGGTATTCGCTGCCAACTTCTGTTGCGGTCTTGGATATTTTTGACGGGGATGCGTGCGTAAGTGCAACATTCACTCCGCTTTGCTGGCATACTAGAGGAACATCGTGTTTCTTCCATCTAGAAGTTTATGATCAATGTCTGGAGATGGAAACTTCATCTAGGTGAGAAGAGAATATATCTATGTAGCTTCTTTCTAGCCGAAAGTGGCAGCTGTTCTCCGATAACGTTGCTTGCATATCTGAAAATAGAAAGATGCACTATGGAGATCCTGCCAACGGCGATTTTACAGCAGGGATGCGCAAAGGAGTCCTCTGCTGCCTTTCATTTCTCAATCGGCTGTACGGCTACAAGCATCTTCCCCAGACTATGCATGTTGATGGTTATGGGTTAGGAGTACTTGCGTATGTATGATCTAGATTTTGGTTATGGCCAACTCTATCTCACAGTCGCTCGAGTAGCTAAGCATTCGCCTATCGTACTGTCTCCAGATTTTGCCTGATCTAAACAATCACTGGTTAGCCACTCTAACGTCGCATTCACGGCAGATGGTACCTTTGTCGAAAGCTTGTGCGATGTAACAACAACGCTGATCAGAATAGCACAAGCCTGCACGATCGATTCCTTGCTTGCTTTGGAGAATGATGTGCAGGGTCTTCCTGTATAGAAGCCGTTCCATGCTGCATACGCATATTAAGGTGTGGGTTGGGCTAGAACGTGCTTTGGAAGTTGGGAGCCTGCGCATTTGTGCCCGTGGTGCTCCCGAGTTATTCTGGGGATGACCACTGTTGTGACGCAAGATAGTGTCCTGGATATACTTGATTCATCGTGATAGTACTGATAGAACGACGTCGTAGCTGCGCCAGAGCATACTGGATGATCGTTCCTGTTGCCTGTGCATATTTGATGACAAGGGAATCCATCTAGCAAATAGGAGAGACGAAGTGTGAAGGACACAAGAGTCCTTCCTAGTCCTGTAATGTAAAGTTGACGATGTGTCTTCCCTACGTTTGTCCTATTCGGTGGTGGCAGGCACCATGTTCAAAGCGAATACTAGCAGCATCGACCAGTGCAGTACTCCAGAACATCGTATATCTCAATCTCTCAATCACCCTACATTTAGAATCCCAGTCAAATATACTATCCAATTTGCATACTCGCTTGACGCTGGCTGGACCGAGCATTCCCTAGCCACAAGAGGTAACGCAAGTACTTTACCCAGAGTGCTGCTTCCGTATCCAACAGCCTCGAACACTGACTATCCGCCCACCATCTTGGGCAGCTAGGGAGTGGCAACATCGCAAAGGGGCTGTCTGAAGTTTGGTTCAAATGATGCGCATAAATGAAGTATGCCGGTTTTTCTCCATTCTTGTGCCTCGTCCTTGCTATATATCGGCCGCGCAGATCCTGAGATTTCGCCTTGCAAGCGAACCCCACCCATTTCTTGTCCTTTTCCCACAATAGCACTTTACTGAATAAGAGAAAAGACAGGAGTTAAGATGCAGTACCGTTTTGTATCCGTTCTTGCTGCCGGTGTGTTGGTTGGTGTTACTAGCGCCGCACCTGTGCCTTCTGCTGAGGTTCGTCATCACCATCTCGTCACCACGCCCTTGCGCCCACTAACGTACCCTAGGCGCAAACGTTCGGTAACGATCCAGCAAACACCATCGAATTAGGCAAACCTTCCACAGTCATAACTTGGGGCAAACGCGACGACTCGCCCACCAACCCAGACGACGTGCAGCTCGGTCCACCAACATCAGAGATCATCTGGAGCAAAGACAAGAAACGCAGTGTCTCTTTCGGAACACCAAAGGACACTTTCACCATAGGCAAGCCCACGACGGAGGTTACGTGGGAGAAGAGAGACGAACCAGATACTATCGAAAACGGTGCACCGACGACTGTTGTGACGTGGGGTAAAGAGAAGCGCGCCGAGGTTGTGCAACCTGACACTATCGACTTGGGAAAACCTACTACTGAGGTTACGTGGGGAAAGAGGGATATGACTGCTGCTGCCGATCCCGCCGATAGCATTGAGCTTGGAAAACCCAGCACGGTTATCACTTGGGGCAAGGAGAAGCGCGATGATCCTCCCGTGTTGGGCCAGCCGGATTCAGAGACAACGTGGAGTAAGCGTGAGGCTGAGAAGCCAAAGGACGTCTTCAAGTTGGGTAAGGCTACTACGGTTGTAACATGGTCTTGAGTGTGTCGGTCGGTCTTGTGGTGAGTCTCCTATCGTTGCCCTGATGGTGAATAGATGCTAATGATATTACAGCAGCTAGACAATGTAATCTTCTAATTGAAGTTTGTAGAGTTTGGAGGCAGATTCCACTGTCGCTACTTCGCTGAATCCTGTAGCTGGGGTACAAAATTCCGAAATCTGTATGGCCTCCTGGCTGTTTAGTTGTTCCAATATATCTTCGTTCAATAGCTTTACTTGTGTAGAAGACTTGGTGACGCATTGCATTATGTGGAATTTGCTAGAAATATCCGGATCGAAAACCAGGTACACATGAAAATGCATGCGTGCTGGCAGTACGAGTATATCTCCTATCACTTCTCATAGTTCTGCCGGAGGTTTTGTAATCTTTGTCAAATGATCCCCATTAAGCTCTTTCATGATCTTTCCTAGACCTTCATGACTATAGTCCTTCTCATTCCACATATCCTGTCCAAGGTCAGTAGTTGCCTTTTGTCGCCACTCAAGAAGGTGCACACGATGCGCTACCCATGACTATCAACGTACCTTATGATACCGCACTTTACCGTCCTGATCAAGCGTCAAAGTGATCAGGCTGTTGACCTTCTTCGAGATAGGCATAGGCTTGGGTGTATACTCTTGCTGTAGCTTAAAAATAATTTCATCAGGCTTCGACGAAAGCACTTCCGTCTTGATTGTCCGGCTACTCTTCATCAGTTTGGGAATGCCTGTTACCTATCAGTAGAGTGACCTTTTCGCGCTAGGCTTTCTGTTGTCAGCTACTGACCATACCACTGGCCCGCGATCTTGTATCTTGTGTCGCAGTAGCTCCAGGGATCATCGTATACCGCTTCTTTGCCATACACCATCATGTCGTCTTCGCTTGCGCTCCCGGAGTAGAGGTTGCATATCGATTGTACAATCTTTTCGCGCTCGGGATTTAGTTTGATCGAGTTCTCTGGGTGAGGCTCATAGTCGACGCCTGAAGAGCTATTTTGCGACTCATCGGCGTTGTGCGTTAGAGCCACTGGGTCCGGTCGTTTCTCGAACTCGTCCTCGAGGCGTGATGCGAGTGTGTCCTTTCCGGACTTTCCTGTTACTGGGAGCGTCATCTTGTTTCCTGGAAGAAGGTAATTGCACTTATGTAGTCGTTGGTCTGTGAAAATGCTGCTTTTGATGGACGCAATATCTTGACGTCATGGCTGGCTGCGTTTACGAACGCTCCACGGACCACATAGCATGTACCTTGAACCGTCCAATAGTGGCCATGCTTTGTTCATAACAAGCGTCACATTTGTAAAGCAACGAGATCAATAGTTCAGACAAGCCAAGAGTGCAATAAACGGTGTGCTATCCATCGATATGAATCGGCCATTTCTCCACGGCCTCATAGACTAGCAATAAACTACCCATAAGATAGACTGTCGGCGCCCAGACCAGAGCAAGTGTGCTCTGGTACTCGCACCATGTTGCACTACAGTATCCCAAGCAAGCACTCCATACCCATCCTACACTGCCAACCAGGTTTGTCATTCCCACCCACCACCCTATCATCTTAGGAGCGGGCTTCCACCACTGTCTTTGGACTTCGAATATGTACAACATCGATGCGACGAAGAAGCAAATGGCGCCCAGGAGGAAAGAGGGATAGTAGACCCCGTACAGTACGCCTTGTGGGAGGGTGTCATAAATTCCCGGTAGGGTGAGCAGATTGGTGACCCAGTAAATGGCCGTCCCAACAAAGAGGATGAGATTGGCATTGAAGCCAATCTCCCGACGGTAGTGAATGCGAATATCCTGCTACGTAGGCCACCATTTCCAGGTCTGCTCGGGTCCCGACTCGGGACGAGCTTCGACTCTAAATGTCTTTGTGTGCATTATCCGGTGCTTCATGCGGTCGGGATTGTGAATATGTGTGCAGTTTCGAAGGTCAGGTTGGAAGTCAGAGCTATTTGTGCCCTTCTCTTCGTCGGCAGAAGCGCGGTCGACATTCTCGCCATCAGAATTCAGGGCTCCCTTTAGTGCCCAACCAAAACAGTCGCTTTGGTTTGCGTTTACGGCTTCGACGACGAGGAGCATGCCACCCAGCAGAAACAGCATGCCACGGATGAAGGATATCACGCCGCTGATGATGGAGGGGTCGGCACCAAATGACGCGTCTGGGTATGCGATCGGGAGCCATTGGAGAACACCGGCCGTTATGGAGCACATGGAGCCAACAGAGAAGACGATGCCAATCCACCACGACACATCCCACCAGGCTACGACTGTAAGCATTCGGGCAAACGCTCGAAGGAGGCGTGTTGTGCGGGCGGTGCGCGAGGGCGCTTGAGCGTGGGTAAGAAGGAGGATATGTCGACCTAGGAACAGAATTCGTTAGCATTCGATGCCTAGGTCAGCAGGCATCTAGCCACGCACCTTTTCGATTCTCACGACTCCACCACTCCCATTCGGTTCCGCTCGCGTGTCCTTGCTCATCATTGACGGTGAACCGCCGCGAATTGGCATTCTGAAAGCTCAAGACTTGATTAGAACTGCCCTCGATGTAGTCGAGCTGCGGCGAAGAATCCTGAGAGGAGAGCTTGTGGTCGCTAGGCGCAGACATGTATTGGGTACGTTGATGTGTGAAGGAACTGCAATTGGGTTGGGCATGGGAAGGACTTCATGCCCCTTGTCACCGCCATGTTTCCTGCCCCATTTTGTAACCCTGGAAAATTGACGTCTCGGAAGAAAAACCTCAGGCCACTGCCTCAGAGATGATGATGCGTGATGTCATGGTGTGGAGAAGTTGGTGTCTGGGGTCTGGAGCTGTCTGCTAGCGTCTGGAGACTTCACATGCCAAGGCAATGCTGCAAAGATCGCCATGACTAATGCGAGATTGGCATCTCACCTCTGAGCATCTTTCGTGAAACAAACCAAGCTTCCGGAAATCGCCCGTATCAGTAATCCTTCCTACGCTGCTGTAGTCTCTGACTCTTTGCACGCGAATAAGATTGCAATGCAAGCGCGCGTGAAGGAGTTCGGGTCAATGCGATGCGATCCTTCTCGCCTGTATCTGGTCCTCATAAACAGACCCGCACTCGCTGCGCGCGCCTACGTTCATCAAGCGCAGGACCTTACATTTGCAGCTCCAGTCGTCTTTCTTACACAGACCATATGCTACGACTCTTGCGCAGGGCCGAGTACAGGTCATGCCCAAGACTGGTGGGCGTTCACAGCCCACGGGTCTACCTTGTTGGGAGTGTCTATATGAAAGCGCGACGCGTACAATATCTCTTGGCTTTTGTGTATAGTCTTCCAAGCGATGCCGTTAGATTGTTTTCGCTCTGAATTCCAATGGAAAAGTAGCGATGGCTTCATTTCGGGCGCTTGGTAGGACGGCTGCTTCGGCGCCGAAGTGTACTCATGCAAACAACTTTCCCACCAAACGGCACACTCCGGAAGTGTATAGGAAGGTAATGTATCCATCAGATATAAGACTAGCGATGCGCGCGCTCTTGTAGACTGTAGAACAATAGTTCTTACACCAAATTCCATAACACGTTCGTTATCACCTCGATTCGCCATGGGTCTTCGCCACTCTTTCAAGCCCCAAGGTGCACTTCGCCTTTTTTCCAACATTGTCGTTGCTGGTTCTCTTCTCTCTGGCGCAGTAGCTCAGGATGATTCTACTAGGCTCCGAGACTGCTTGAGCAACACTAGCATCCTGCCCTCCCTAACCACCTTTTCTGATGCCATAAACTGGGAGACCGTCACCTCCCCATGGGCCCTACGATTCAATCCTGAACCAGCCGCTGTTGTTGTGCCTCGCAATAGGGATGAAGTGGCTGCTGCTCTAGCTTGTGCCGTCGAAGCAGGTGTAAAGGTTTCGCCATTGAACGGAGGACATTCCTATGGAGCCTATGGCCTTGGAGGGGTTGACGGCGCACTTGTGATCAACATGGAGCGCTTCACCGAAACCACTTTTGACTCGGCAAAGAACCTGTTCACGTATGTCTCATCGAAGCCAAGAATTAGATCCATTATGCTAACAATCGCAGTTACGGCGGCGGAAGCCGAGTTGGACCTGCCGCAACATGGCTCTGGGAAAACCATGGGCGTCACTTCCCTCACGTCAGAGCCAACTGGGTCGGTCTCTCCGGTTCGTCCATTGGGGGTGGCTTTGGTACCACCAGTCGTTTCCTCGGCACCCCGATGGACAACCTCGATAGTGTTGACGTGATGCTCTATAATGGCACTATCGTGACTGCCTCCCGCACGGAGAATCCCGACCTGTTTTTTGTCATCCAAGGCGCTGGCTCATCCTATGGTATCATTCTCTCTCTGACTACCCGTACCTGGAAGCCAGAGTTTGAGGTTGCCACCAATTTCACAATCTCGCTCGGTGCTGTAGACATTGATACCGGTGTCCAAGCCTTGATGGATATCCAAGAGTGGGCCATGACTGAAGCTCCCGATACCTTCGCTCTGCGATGGCAGCTTGCTGGCGAGTGGAATGGCAGCGGCTACTTCTACGGTAACCCAGATGAGTTCGATGCCCTCTTCGCAAGCCTTGTTAAACGCCTCCCCAACACCACGACTACGACCAAAACAACTGCGGACTTCTGGGCCATGGAGAACTTCGCCGCTCCCCTACTCAACGGAACCGCCGACACCTTCCCTCCGCGTAGCATGTACCTGCAAGCCCTTGTTCTTCGCAAGGACCAACCTTTCACATTTGAGTCCGCTAAGGCTCTGTACCAGTACACCACCCTCGCGTTCAACCGCACTGACCTGACCGAGTTCGGCTTCCTGGACCTGTGGGGCGGTGTCTCCCGCGATGTCGATGACTCCAAGCAAGCCATGGCATACTCCAACAACCAATGGCTCATCCGCTGGGAGGGACGTCTCGCCAACGGCCTGACTCAGTGGCCCGCTGACGGTATTGAGTACATGCAAGCTGGTTTCAGACCGTTCAAGGAGCAGCTGAAGAAGGAGGGTATACCGCTCAGGGGTTTCGTCAACTACCGAGACACTGAGCTTTCTCTTGAGGAGTGGAGCGTCAGACTCTACGGTGACAACTTTGAGAAGATGAAGAGGATCAAGTCGCAGTTGGACCCTCAGGGAGTGTTTACCACCCATGCGCAGAGTATCCCCTCATCGTGAGCAGTTCTCGATTAGGTTACAGAGGCGCTCATGGATGAAAGACAAGAAGACGTGAAAGACTGGATAGCAGTGGGATGGTGTGTACATATTTCGAAGACGTAGTTGTAAATGTATTTGTGTCGAGATTGGAAATTCCCGTTCACAACATGGGGATAGTTTAATGCTGGTTTGAGATGTGGATCCAGGGTACCGCGACACCTGGCTGGCATTTTGTTTGATTATAGGTTATATACAAGAAGCTTCGGTACTTTTGTCATACATCGTATGGTAAGCGTCGTCCATTAGCCCTGACAGTCTAGCAAGTCAGGTCGAAAAACGGGGTGTTGTTCTCCTTCGGGGTAATAGCGAATGACAGGTCGGTTTGGGCAGCGTTCGCATCCTTCAGAGTGTACCAGAAGGTGTTGCGAGTGCCGAAGAGGGAGCAGCCAACCTCGTCCCAGTAACGCTTGGAGTTCTCAAGAGAGGCAACAGCAGCGCCAGAGTTGGGGCCAACTACACATAAGTTAGCACCATGGCGTTCGAACAAAGGTTTTGTAGTATAACTTACTTCGTGGCCATCCAGTCTCGGTGACCCACACGGGCTTTCCACCAGACACACCCTCAGTCTGTCCTACAGCGGCGAAGAAGTTCTCGCGAGCCTGGTCGATAGAGTTCGGCTTGGTGGTCTCGAAGTACGGGAAAGAGTTGTGGCCAAGCCAGTCGACAGTGTTCGCAACACCGCGGTTCTCAGGAAGAACCCAAGCAGTCCATGTGTCTACATGGCCGATGGGCTTGCCTTCGAGCGAAGTGCCGCGGAGCCAATCGCGCATCCAGCCAATGTAACCCTCGATCTCAGTACCAGTTGCACCAACACCAGCGTTGTTTTGTACACCCTGCGGGCTGCTACGGTACAAATCTTCAGATCCCACGCTGATACCAATGACCTTGTCGGTGAAAGCGCTACCGAGGTCCCTGGCACCTCGAATCAAGGCGTTGAGTTCATTCTCGTAAGCGGTACGTCCGGCACTAGCCCAGAGACCAACGAGAATCTGTGTGTCGGTATCGATGGCTGCTTGGAAGGCAGATATGGGGTCGGCTGCGGTGCCGCATTGGACTGAGGTGTATAGGCGTGCTGTGTTGAAGCCTGAAGCACCAGGTAGGCTCTTCGCCTCATTGAAGAAGCGCACAAAGTCGTTGTATCCACGGCATGAGCCATCTGCGTTGGTGGCGCCGTAGTTGAAACCCTTGGTTTGCGCAACGGCGGTGGTCGCCAAGGCGACGATAGACACAGCTTTTGCCCACATTTTGATGGATTAGAAAGTAGATATTAGATAGCTGTGTAGGATACCAATTCGGCCTGAGTACAAAGAAATGGGAAAGAAACTACACTTTATGGCTACATCGAGCCGGGGTTTAAAATAGGATGTTTGCCCCTGCGCATCATCGCTGGCTGCATGCCAACCCAAATGACGTGGATGAGGCTCGTACTTTTCTTTGCCAAGGGCTGTTGAATGTCGATCTTCCGAGTGCGATGCTGGGCGAAAAGCAATTCAACGTGCGGCTCTGCAACGGAGAATCGTAACATCGTTAACCTTCACCGGCTATAAGTTGACGATGTACAAGGCATGTTGTCGTGCGCATTCATTTGATAAAGGCGCAAAGTCGATAAGGTGGTCGAAACCATTGTTGGTCCCGATTATTCGCTGGGCAGGCTCGGAAACAGTTGTCACTGTGTGACATGCACGCCGGCACAAATGGGAACGACTACTCGGCAGCCGGTTCTTTCAGCTGTGCGTTGGTCTCGAACGCGCGGTGTGGTGAGAATACGGTCAAGCTGCAGCTGCCCAGACGGAAGATGTGGGGTAGGGTTCTTAGCAGTGCCAGAACCACAGACCACGTTTACGTGGCGGACAATTTCCCGCCGCCCCTAACAGCCCCAGGGCTCTCACCAATCCCGGGGTCTGTACAAATCGTAGCGTGGATCGAGCTTTGCTAGAGTCGAAGAGTATCGAAAACCTGTGATGAAAACAAGCCGAATTGGGGCTTCTTTAAACAAACATTCTAGTACGTAAGAGTGAGAGTATGCTGCTCTGAATGTAGACCGCCCAGGCGAGGCTCACCGGTAGCCTAGCGCGGCATGGGCTTTTCCAGCCATCCCGCACGGTGCGACGCATGTTAAGTTGCTTGTCTAGAGCCTATCTTTGCTTTTCGACCGACGAAAACACGATGGCCGGCCCAAACTTCTTTCCTCGTCGACCAATGATGATGGTACCGATGCGTCACGTTGGTGCCAGGTTGAACACAACAGTTTTGTAATAGTCTTTGAATAGGAGGTTGGTAGCATACCACGATATTATCAGTTCGCAAGTTCAAACATTCGAGAGTAAAAGTCCTACAGTATATAACAAAGCAAGAGTACTATACACGTCTAGTGTGGTACGTGTATATAAGACAGAAAGGTAACACAGACGTATAGAACAGAAAGATTCTCTTTAGTATTGTGTACTACTTCTTAATCAGCTAAACGTATAAAGGAAATTCGTTAACACATTAACAAAGATTATCTTTGCCAAAAGCGATCGTAGGAACTCATAGACGCAAATAGACACTATACTATACCGGCACCAACGTAAAAGACGACGCTGTACCTTCGTTTGACGCAGCGATACTCAACTGATCTCCAAAAAGCTGCAACACATTTTGGTCCCTCACACTACACGTCAACGTTAGATCCGCACTAACGACGCAAGCGACTGGAGCCTCATCATATGTTTGAGCCATCGTAGGATCCGTTAGCCATACGTAGTGGTAATAGACAAACTGCCCAGGTGAATCAACCACGACGCTGAGCTCTGAGGACGAGCCCACGACGCTGAGACGGCAAGAGTCTGTGAAGAAGAACTGTGCAGCGCCAGCAGCGGTAGTGGACCAGAAGTTGATGGAGAAAAGATTGTCGAACGCCGAGTTCACTGTTGCGAAACTGTTCGAGGCTGAAGCGAAGAGGGCAAAGGAGCTGGTGGAGGTCGGGCAGGCGCGGGCAATGACGGTAGCGACGGTGGTGGCGATCACGACCTGAGTCGCTGTCACTGTGACGAGGGTCGTTGGTGTTGCGGTGACCTGGTCAGACATGTTAGGAACCGAACAGGTAGAGGGTAAAGTCTTCGGATGGATAGACTTACGGTGCTGGTCCGAGGTGTTTCGATGCATGAGCAGAGCGTCTGCACGACCTGCTTAGCTTCCTTGAGAAAGCTCGACCATTGCGCATCTATATTTCGCTCTTCGAGACTTCTTCCGTGGTGTTGCGTAGGCTGGGGTGGATTGATAGCCGGTGTAGTGTTTGCTCGCTTGGTAACCTGGTCGACCACAGTCGTTGTGACTACGACGGTAGTGGTGGTGGGAACGACGTCCGTTGTTGTTATTGGAATAGCCGCAGCAGTGACTGTTTGAGTAGAGACAGGGAGCGGGTACCTAGAGGTACAGTACTTTTGTGCCGGTTGGTAGTTTTTCAAAAGAGGGACAAGTAGTTCGTTGGCGCCCTGACTGCATACATTGTTTCTTGCATACACTGAGCTGATGAAGCTTAACGCTAAAGTGAAGGACTTCATGATTGTTGTGTACGAGGACAGCGTGCATCTCCTCTAACGTGGGACATTGTCTTTATATGGAGACCCATCTTGACAATATCCTACACCCTGGTGTACGATACGGGATGCCCAAGCTGCTTATTACATGGAGCTTAATCGGTGTGTAAGAGGTCGTCCACAGGATTATATTGATACCAGACCAAAGGCGGAGATGGACTAGCCGGGTGTGGCTGACTTGCCAGGGGATATGAGCCACGCAGCAGCCTTGACAGCTGGTCAGGCAATGCCAGAGTACGTTTCATCCAAATTTCGACTGGCTCCGACAGAATAGCTGAAAGGGAAATCCTTCAACCTGGTCTGGATCGTTGTTTTTGCTAGTGGGCGCATGTTCAGCTGTGAGGCTGCAAGCCACAAGTGCTTATCAGTCGCTTTAGGGAAGAAAAGAGAGCCAATCACAGTAGACTAGGCCGCTTGAAGGCTTTCCTAGTCTACGGAAAGATCAAACGCTTGTCTTCTTCGGCATGTAGTCTATGCAGGTGTGAACAGATGTAGTCGACAGCGTTCTCAGGTAGCCTTTTTCGCAAGGCTGTAGCGCTTCTATACGATTCGAGGCGTACAAATGTATCAGGTTCACGTCCGCATTAACTTGCTACACTCGAGGCGCCATTTAGAGACCCGATCGAGTATATTTCTAAGGATAGTCCTAACCCTAGCTCTGCTTGAGTTTTAGAGAGCTAATACCTCGGCCGCTAACGTAGCGCACCCTCTAATGTATTCTAGAGTGCTCCTCAGTTTTAACACTAAACCTCTAAACAAAATTTGTGCATCCTATTAGATTTAGGCTCTTGCGACC